TTCATATTTTGTGTAATAATAAGCCTAGTCGGAGTGCTATACTTTTGTATCTTTACCTTGGGTTGATTCGAGTATGGTGGTGTTCATTCTTGTGAGATTGAAGCATCGATCTGTATAAACTTTGGCCTGTGGGCTTGAATAGAAGATAAGTGACGTTTATAGTTTATTGTGGTTAACATTTTACAGTTCTTATAGTGTTCAGATCACGGTTTCTTGAACTTCTTATTTTTAGTTCTCTTGAGTTGTTATTTTCAGTTTAGTATTGTTAACTTTAGCATATATATTTGTTGTATTGAGCTAATCAGTGTGATCTCCTCCCAACACATATCATCTCGAACAAATATTGATATTACCGTGAGAAAGTTCTGTTTCGTCAAACTAAATAAAATCTATCTCTGCACAGCACTATACAGCAGTTGAGGTAATTTGGCTTATGAATTCTACAACATGCCATAATGCAAAGTCACGGAAGAGACCTCGATGCCAAATGACTTGTCCAATATCTTGATATACAACTTAATCAGTAGATTTCAATGTATGGATGAAATTTCTTTTCAATTTCTACGGAAATTGTGGCTGTTCTTGTTTCGGAATACAACTTAATCACTAAAAGTTATGGTCATGCGGAAGGTTTGCTCATCAACATGAATATATATCAACACAGATTTCTGTCCTCTTAGTTTACCTTCTGATGCCGGGATTCCCCCATTATCGATCAAAACCTGCATTGTGAATTTTCCAAAAGTGCAATAAATAAGTAATATTTATCATACACCTTGGCGCTCCTTCTCGACCATCATGGCTGAGTCTTTGCAGCAAACTATCAAAAAAGTTATCTTCTTCCGTAAAACCACGCCCAAAAACATTGATTGAAAAGGTAAATAGTATCATATACTAGCATGAGAACATCTAACACTTCTTACGGCGCGGCCACATGCACTCATTTGGAAACTATTGGCAGTACCACTGGTGGCTGTACCGCCCAACCATGTTCCCTTTAAATAAGAAAAGGAAAAACAATGGAGAGTGGAGACCCGAGCTGTAGCTCCGTGATTTTTTTTTATGATTATTGGATGAGATTTCTCAAAAATCCTGTCAATCGTTTACATTGCACTTTTGAATATTTGCAGAATCCACCAATTTTAAGGTGACATTTTTTCCTCTCACGTACACTTGTTGCGTCAGGACTATGCTTTCGGAGCCATTAAAAGTGAAGCTCGTTTTTGTCAAAAGTTTCGGTAAATCGTACCTGTGAAGGGTCCCAAATCTTTGATTTTTAGTGCCCAAAATACCAAAATCTTTCAAACATCTGCGCTAGCTACATATCCTTTTGACAAAAAAAGTGCTAAAGGTCACTTTTTGAATAAAATGATCATTTTAACTATAGTTTGATTTAAAACAAATAAATAAAGAAAAATGTGGCCTTCAAATAAATAAATTTTTAATTTATTTAAATTTTGACATTTAAGTTTCAATCTAATGCTTTACGCCCAAATAATTACCATAACAGAAAACTGAGATTCTTATTGCTAAAAATCAAATGCTTGGGATCTGAGTGCAATTTACCCTTGTAATTTGGTCAAATCCTATTGGGAAATTTGGTTCAAATTATCCTTAATATATGGGCTTACTACATAAATGGTCCCTAACCTTCAAATTTTGGTGCATGTTAATAGGAGCTCAATCGAGATGATATTGCAGAGGAATTTATATTTTTTAGACTCTCGTCTAGAATAACTCGACAAAATTTATATTTCATATGTAAATTTAAATATGATTTTGTTATTATTATTTTTTTAAAAGGATCCAGATAGTAATTTATATTATGCATTGGAAACAAAAATTAAAAACAGCGTCGAATCATTAAACATCAATATTATGTAGATTGAAAGTATTTTTGATATATATATTTTTCCTACCACATCAATGTGTTTCGCAAGGATTATCGAGTCTCGCTAACAATTAAAAAATGGTTCAGACGATTGTTTAAGGAATAAATCTCTCGAGACAAAGTCCCAACGATGAGTGCTTTATTTATGAAGATTACAATTAGGAAGAAGCAAAACGCCTCGAAGAGGTACGAGCACATAAAATAATTTGAAAGTTGACAATAAGAATTAAACGAAATGAAATTACATACTTCTCTGTTTGAGAGTGATTGATTTGGGGTCCTTCATTCTATGTCTTTTTTTTCTTTTATACTCATTTGCCAATTTTCCTTGTAAAATCGTTTGGAAACTGTTTATCGCTCTATAACTACCCACTTGCTTCATAATGACTAACGTGTCGAGAAATCACCGTTTTTAAACTGCTAATATTGCTCCCCTCTTTTAATTGCTTGCAACCGAGATATTTGGATCGTGGAACGTGAAGATTGCTCAATAACTGTTTCAATAACCGCCGCTTTAAATAACAACATGACTCTATGTTCGCTCAGATCTTGGGCGTCTCGAAGACTTGGACGATAATGGGATCGTCGCTCTGAGCGACAATAAGGTACTTCATTTGCTCTGATCCTGGGCGTCCTGCAGACTTGGACGATGATAGTCCTCCGTCTATGGATATCCACTATATTTTACAATGATCTCATTTGGGCCAATATCTGAAGTTCCCTAACTGTGCTCCATTTCTTGGACCATTTAATTGGACCTTATTTTTGTATGTCACGTATTAGAGGAATATTTTTTTTAATATTCTATTTTGCTTATATAAGATAATTCTGAAAATAATCTACGATTACATTGAAAATGCTCTTATGAAAAACAGATTAGTAGGAAGGGTAGTCTCTTCTATTTATCATATTTAAAAAAAAAAAATCACTTATTTATTTTATTTATTTAAATTAAAAGTAAGAACATTTTAGTATTTTTTATAAAAGTTTAAAATTTTTAACTATCAATTGGATATAAAGCATTTAAAATAGCAAAATTTGCTCATTAAATGGAAGGTTATGGATGTTTGCATCTTAGATCCCATTTGCATCAATTTTCACATATTGCTTGAAATAAACCACTTACGATTAAAATATAACTTTAGCAAACATATTACTGATTGAAATTGATTTTATCTAAATAATTAAAAAATTTGCCATTGATCCAACTAGTTAGCGTCGGTGAGTTAAAATTTCAAGATCCTCAACGTTTTGTTTCAATTAGTACTTTTATAATTTATATATACAAAACGTAGCTAGCTGTCAAAAAAAGTGGCTAACGCTAGGTACCATTTCTAAAATCATCAGAATATTTACATGAAGTAACTGTAGACAGTATACTGTACTCTGTAAATGAGTTCCACCATGAACAATGCTTGCTGTACAGGGACCTGCTTCACAGGTCCCTGCCAGGTAAGATACAAGGTAGGGCCCGCATTAAATTTTTTTTTTTTTAAAACATGTGGGGCCCGCCTTTTTGTGAGTGCCCTGTAATTGCCGTGTGAACCATTTCCCTGTAAATATAGCTTAATTCTTCCACCATTGCCGCTTCTGTCTACATTTTGAGCTAATCATTTCACAAATAGAGTTACCAGCACTGATCAGTTTCCCAATTCCGGCTCCGGCGAGAAAAATCGCTCGCCGACAGAGCAGTCGGACGCCTCCGATGAAAAAGTTCCGTATCGTACTTCGCACGCTTCTCCGGATCAGAAAGAGTAGCATAAGCCGCATGAACGCTCATAAACTCATCTCCACTGTTCGACGCAACATCCGGATGCAAACTTCTGGCTAATTTTCTATACGCAGTTTTAATTTCATGACACGAAGCACCGATTTGAATCCCCAGGACTTCGTACAGCGACCCCTGTTTTGGAGCGTATTCCGTGCTGATCTTCCAACTACAGGTCCTCTCAGAGGTAGCGCAAGTGGCGGAGATACGGAGGGGGCGGCAGAAGGTGGCGTTGCACGGCGGTTGAATGGTTGAGCGAATTGTTTGATTCGAGAGAGAAAGTGATGTAGAAGCCATGATAAGATCAGTATCTGTGGTGGTGATTTCACGAATGGTTTCTGAGATGAAATTGCTGAATGGAATGGATTATTTATAGAGGGGCGGAATGTGGGGTTTACGATTGGCCATACACGGTTGATTGCTGTGCGGTGAACTGTATGGGAAGGATATGGATAAAGGGCAAATATCCTTGCTGACTCAACAATAATCTTGGAATCTATAATGTGAGTCACTCAATCATACGATACAGATGTACATTTTATTTCAAGATAAAAAGGCATCTTTGGCTAAGCTTGAGAATCCACCTTTAAGTAAATAAGTCGATAATAAAATAAGTTACTCATTTTGAAATAATACCTACTTATTTTAAGTAAGTCAACAATAGGAAAATAAGCAATTTTGCTAGAATTTATTTAAAAGTAATTTTGACTTACTTATGTGTTAGCAAAACAAGCTCTATGTTTTAGAATTCAAAGATGAATCTCTCATTGTCTATTAAGTAAAAAGAAAACGTGTTTCATAAAAAATGAGAAAAATACTTTTGGGTATATGAAAGTCTTACTACATATCTTTATTTTATCGATATAAAATAATGCATTTTACTAAAAGGAAACACTGCTTCAAGCGTTGTAGTTATGGATTGGTGACTTGGCATGTCGAATAATACTATTGTTGACCTCGAAAAATGGTTCCGACATGCGGTCAATAGAATAAGTCTTCGAGTTAGCTCTTCCCTGCAGACGTAGCACGCTGTTAGTCACCATTGACCTTTCCCGGAGAGGTTAGGAGCAACCGCGAGCACTTCGACGATCAAGTCAATTTATGGTTCAACCGGGATAGGTTCGTCGGCAGTAGAACACTTGCCGGGAAATAGTCGATAAAGTAGTAAAAAATGCCAATATTTAAGGGAGAGGATAATACTCAAGTTTTTTATGTATGAGGAAATCTTTGTTCGAATCCTTCTTCTGGCACAAAGAGGGGATATTTATACTAAAAATTGGAAGGGGAGAGCCGTTGGATGAGGAAACACGTGTTATCAGATCTTCGAGACTCATTTCATCCTATGTGTCAATATGTCCCTCCATAGGTGGCTAGCATTGAATATCTCTAACAAGGGCATTTGATTTAACCGTTTAAGTCCTGCCACACGTCCCATCAGTCAGGGATTTAACTTTGAAAAGATTTTTGCACAAGAAATTTTTGATGGGCGAGGTGAGGCAAAAGAGGCGTTGCAGCATTGTAGAAGCGGAGTGCGAGCCTTTGCATCCACGGTGTAATTGCAGATGAGTTGGTTCCTTCGCTGGCACTCGTTCAGTTTGTTCCTCACTCATTCACTTCGTCATATACAATCAATTCTTCCCATGTATAATCACCTCGGTAGACACACGGCGTGGTGTGGATCACCTCTACTGACACGTGGCGAACGAGGTGACCGGTCTGACATAGGCCCATAACAGTTATCATTATCATATTCTTCTTATTTTAAGAGAATGTTGTAGTTACCTCACTGTCACACGAACTACTATTTCTAAGCAATGATTATAAATTGCGATACTCTTTTTCAAAACCATTCGGATATATGATCAATAAACTTATGGATCTCAATGAATCATCGCGCTTAACTTTATTTAAAATTATTGAAATTTATTAGTTCGAAGAACCCTTGCCAATGCGTGTTGCTTAATTATCGACATCCCTGCAAGTGGTCGGTCGACATAGCATGTGCATTGAATTTTTCATATTACCGTCTTGATTCTTGTAACGTCGCTATTGATTCAATTTGTTACGAAAGTGAACAAAACCCATTGACTTTACTATAATAAACGACATATTCGGCTGTTGGGTCGGTCGAATTTCCATGATACTGTTGGAACAAAATACTTATTAAAATATTTTATTTAATTGGTTTATAATTTGAAATTTATACATTCTATATTTTGAAGTTGGAAAATATCAACCAAAATTATTATATTCAGTTGGTGATTCAACAAGTGTCCATTAAAATTTAAAGGATCATACAAAATTAAGATGGACTACGTGTATTAATGACCATAGAAAAGTGAAAAAATTAAGATGGCAAAATTGAAAATCGCACGTTTCCTACTTATCCAAGATTTTGGACTAGGGAGTTGAATTGGCTATTTCAAGTTGACAAGTTGGCTGCTACTTTTATTTCTGATTTTTTTCAACTCTAATATTTAAGTTTATATATTTAAATCACTTTATTTATTGACAAATTTTTTGGTTGATGAAATATATTTAAATCACTTTATTTATTGACAAATTCATTAAGGACGTGTTTGGTGCTGATTCTTCATTAACTTAAAATTGAAACATTAACCTTGCTTTGCCAAGGTAGACCCCACTTTTGATATGACTGGTCAAAAAAGACTGCCTGATTTTACACGTAACGGTTATGAAATTAATTTTTTTGCTTCAAAAAGCAGCCCAGACGGCCCCTAAGTTTCACTATGTTAGATATTTGCTAATATTTTTTAGTGATTCTCTTCAATCATTGAGTAGAGGATATAAGGGATTGGATAAAACACGCACTAAAGAGTGTTATCGAACGAGTTATTTAGGATTAACCAGACTTGCAAACTTTGCTTTGAAGTCCTTAATCCCACTTAAAATATGGATGGCCATATATGTGCATCACATTGGAATTGTTAAAAGTTCTTAAAATTTACTTGGTATAATGTCGTTCATCGCATTCTTATCATTAACCTTTCATTAATTAACAATCTTATTTCCGACGACGATTGCCCTTGAAAAGTTAACAATTCTCACTCATTTTTTTTTTTTTATTTACTCTTTATATTTTTTTAACCAAAAATGGCAAATAAAAAAAGTGTGAATAAAATTTCTTTTTCTTATTTTAGAACACGCTAACATAATTATTGGACACAAACCGCTATCAGTAATATATACTAATTAATAAAAAGTTAATGATAAGAATGCAATAAAAAAGTTAGAGAGATAAGTGACAATAAATAAATATTGTATGAATATAATTACTCTTAAACTATCGTTTCAAGTACTCGTACGTTACTAATTGAAATGCAAAAGATCAAAAGTAACGGGATGTGTGCAACATACATTGGTAAAAATGTGTGGTTGAAAATGAAAATTTAATGAGTTGAAAAGTTGATAAAATTTTATCGAACAAAGGCTAAGTAATATGGTGACAAATTTAAATTCTGGTTAATTTGGAGTTCTACTTTGCAAACTCTGATGGTTACTAGTAGAAGTTAAATCTGCTTCATTTCATGTTCATTTCCTAACATCTTCTCTTCTATGCAAATATACTTCGTCCTAATAAATTTTGTAACTTAATTTAGTTTCTTATTTTCTCAAAATGTTGCATGAAATGACTAAGTTCGCAGCATCATTAATTTCTGTGTTCTTTAATGCCAGAGCGGAACAGGCTAATTTTGATTGAACTGTTTCTTTCTCCCAACGGGAGCCTATTGGAGTTGATAAGAAGGTAACTTCTTTTCAAGCTATATTATTGAAGCTAATAATAACAATCTCGTTAATGCTATTCCCTATTCAGTAGAATGATTTTTTTCAGGTATACGGTTAGTTCGATAATAGAAGAGTTGTGAATTACACGCCTTTGAACATGTAAAAGGTCGTATTTGAGCACTGGATTGTGTTAAGAACCGATACAACAAACTTACAAGTCACGTCTGTAGGTGTTATGCCCTAAGTCCAATCAACTTGTTAAGAGTGAGTAAAAAAAAAAAATTATTTACTCTTTATATTTTTTTAACCAAAAATGGCAAATACAAAAGTGTGAATAAATTTTATTTTTTTTCTTATTTTAGAGCACGCTAACATAATTATTGGACACAAACCGCTATCAGTAATATATACTAATTATTAAAAAGTTAATGATAAGAATGCAATAAAAAAGTTAGAGAGATAAGTGACAATAAATAAATATTGTATGAATATAATTACTCTTAAACTATCGTTTCAAGTACTCGTACATTACTAATTGAAATGCAAAAGATCAAAAGTAACGGGATGTGTGCAACATACATTGATAAAAATGTGTGGTTGAAAATGAAAATTTAATGAGTTGAAAAGTTGATAAAATTTTATCAAACAAAGGCTAAGTAATATGGTGACAAACTTAAATTCTGGTTAATTTGGAGTTCTACTTTGCAAACTCTGATGGTTACTAGTAGAAGTTAAATCAGCTTCATTTCATGTTCATTTCCTAACATCTTCTCTTCTATGCAAATATCCTAATAATTTTTGTAACTTAATTTAGTTTCTTATTTTCTCAAAATGTTGCATGAAGTGACTAAGTTCACAACATCACTAATTTCTGAATTCTTTAATGCCAGTGCGGAACAGGCTAATTTTGATTGGATTGTTTCTTTCTCCCAACGGGCGCCTATTGGAGTTGATAAGAAGGTAACTTCTTTTCAAACTATATTATTGAAGCTAATAATAACAATCTCGTTAATGCTATTCCCTATTCAGTAGAATGATTTTTTTCAGGTATACGGTTGGTTCGATAATAGAAGAGTTGTGAATTACACGCCTTTGAACATGTAAAAGGTCGTATTTGAGCACTGGATTGTGTTAAGAACCGATACAACAAACTTACAAGTCACGTCAACAGAAAGAACGTTGTTGTTGTTGTTTGTTTGTTAACTATGAAAATTTTGTTTGATAACATCAGGTGATTGTGATCAATGATGAATTTCCAGGACCCCTTTTGAACACATCTACAAATGATGTGGTGTATGTCAATATCTACAATAACTTGACAGAACCATTTTTAATGACTTGGTAGTGTTTGATGAAATGACTCAACTAAATTAATTTCATAGTAAATTTGTATTCATTTGAAGGTATGGGAAATATCTTGATATTTCTTATGAAAATATACGAATGGGGTGCAGTTGAGGAGGAATTCATGGCAAGATGGAGTTCAAGAAACCAACTGCCCTATGATGCCAGGGGAAAACTGGACGTATAGTTTTCAGATGAAAGATCAGATTGGAAGTTACTTTTACTTCCCTTCACTCTTGCTTCAAAAGGCTGCTGGAGGATATGGTGCTATCCGCGTCAAGGACTGCAATGTTATCCCTATTCCGTTCTCTCATCCCGACTATGAGTATGATATATTGATTGGTGATTGGTATAACGCAGATTACTAGGTAAGATGCACAATGTTTTGGTTGCCATTTGAACAATGTGTGATGTTATTGAAAGATTGGTTTATCTGACTAGGAAATGAGACTTGCGTTGGATGAGGGACGCGTATTGCCACCACGGGATGGAATTCTCATCAACGGGCTAGGGAAAAATCATCCGGTATTGTCACTACCGGATGCTTAATACTCGTTTTTTAAGTTTATTTGAAAGACTAATTTTCCTTTTCGAGTAATTGATAATCACGAGACTCGAAAACGACCAAAAGAAGATTAAAAAAATTCATATTTTCTACTGACCAAAACATGACCAATTGTTCAAAAAGGGCATGATTTTTTCTCGAAGAAAAATGAATGAGAATCCATGATTGATAGGCAACACAAACGTTATTTTAGTATTCTATACAATGGATTCCACTATTACAACTTATAAGTGGGCCCGGTGGATTTTTTCAGGAATCCCACATCGGAAAGTAGAAAACCTGTGTGCTGAGATTGGTAGAATAAGATGCCACGTTTGGACCAAGAATAAACATGATCCTTCAGGCAAGTTTTACGGGGATGTGATGAGTGGTCAATGCTCGCACTAAATATGCGAGATGGGTGTCTGCTCCAAGCCTGGTTACGACAATTGGGCACTCCCATTTTCACCAATCTGATCCCTATTATTGAAGGCACCCCCCCCCCCCCCCCCCCCCC